GTGTGTGTGTGTGTGTGTGTGTACTTCACAGCTTTGCTTGATCTAACACATTAAAGCAGAGAGCATGTGGCAGGACAGATAACACTGAACACAGAAGCACAAATGGTGAACAAACAATTGTCCAGTGGTTCTCAACTCCAACTCTGCTTGTGTGTGTGTGTGTGTGTGTGTGTGTGTCTTTCCTAACTGATGATCTGAATCAGATGTGTTGAATTAAGAAGACATACAACATGTGCAAAGGCGGTGTGGTTCCCGGACTGGGATTGAGAACTAGCCTAAATGATTCTGTCATTAATAGTAATAAAGATTGGTTAAATAAGCTTTGAGAGATAAACTGGCTTCCCGAGTGTTGTCTACTGCCTGCTCTGTCTAATGTTATGATCAGTGTGCCCGTTCCATTGGATGCCGTTTGTTGATTTACCCTTTTACTTTGTTTGCAAGGACCTGGGTTGAGAACTACTGGCCTAAATTATTAAAATGTAATTTGTATTAATAAAAATGGCATTAACTAGCTTTAAAAGAAAAAAATGTAAAAAGCTATAATTGTCCTTGCAATCTTATGAGCCATGAACAGTTATAAACAGAAAGAAACCTTCTATCAATTTTCTGTCTCACTGACTCACTTTGCTGTACTTTACCTCTGACTGAAGATCAACAGTCTAACAGTTATTCAGACACACCTGTCCTACTGTACTCAGACACACCTGTCCTACTGTACTCAGACACACCTGTCCTACTGTACTCAGACACACCTGTCCTGCTGTACTCAGACACACCTGTCCTGCTGTACTCACACACACCTGTCCTACTGTACTCAGACACACCTGTCCTGCTGTACTCAGACACACCTGTCCTACTGTACTCAGACACACCTGTCCTGCTGTACTCACACACACCTGTCCTACTGTACTCAGACACACCTGTCCTGCTGTACTCAGACACACCTGTCCTACTGTACTCAGACACACCTGTCCTACTGTACTCAGACACACCTGTCCTACTGTACTCAGACACACCTGTCCTGCTGTACTCACACACACCTGTCCTACTGTACTCAGACACACCTGTCCTGCTGTACTCAGACACACCTGTCCTACTGTACTCACACACACCTGTCCTACTGTACTCAGACACACCTGTCCTACTGTACTCAGACACACCTGTCCTACTGTACTCAGACACACCTGTCCTGCTGTACTCAGACACACCTGTCCTACTGTACTCACACACACCTGTCCTACTGTACTCAGACACACCTGTCCTACTGTACTCAGACACACCTGTCCTGCTGTACTCACACACACCTGTCCTACTGTACTCAGACACACCTGTCCTACTGTACTCAGACACACCTGTCCTACTGTACTCAGACACACCTGTCCTACTGTACTCAGACACACCTGTCCTACTGTACTCACACACACCTGTCCTGCTGTACTCAGACACACCTGTCCTACTGTACTCAGACACACCTGTCCTACTGTACTCAGACACACCTGTCCTACTGTACTCACACACACCTGTCCTACTGTACTCACACACACCTGTCCTACTGTACTCAGACACACCTGTCCTACTGTACTCACACACACCTGTCCTACTGTACTCAGACACACCTGTCCTACTGTACTCAGACACACCTGTCCTGCTGTACTCACACACACCTGTCCTACTGTACTCACACACACCTGTCCTACTGTACTCAGACACACCTGTCCTGCTGTACTCACACACACCTGTCCTACTGTACTCAGACACACCTGTCCTGCTGTACTCACACACACCTGTCCTACTGTACTCAGACACACCTGTCCTACTGTACTCAGACACACCTGTCCTACTGTACTCAGACACACCTGTCCTACTGTACTCACACACACCTGTCCTACTGTACTCAGACACACCTGTCCTACTGTACTCACACACACCTGTCCTGCTGTACTCACACACACCTGTCCTACTGTACTCACACACACCTGTCCTACTGTACTCAGACACACCTGTCCTGCTGTACTCACACACACCTGTCCTACTGTACTCAGACACACCTGTCCTGCTGTACTCACACACACCTGTCCTACTGTACTCACACACACCTGTCCTACTGTACTCAGACACACCTGTCCTACTGTACTCAGACACACCTGTCCTACTGTACTCAGACACACCTGTCCTGCTGTACTCACACACACCTGTCCTACTGTACTCAGACACACCTGTCCTACTGTACTCAGACACACCTGTCCTACTGTACTCAGACACACCTGTCCTACTGTACTCACACACACCTGTCCTACTGTACTCAGACACACCTGTCCTACTGTACTCACACACACCTGTCCTGCTGTACTCACACACACCTGTCCTACTGTACTCACACACACCTGTCCTACTGTACTCAGACACACCTGTCCTGCTGTACTCACACACACCTGTCCTACTGTACTCAGACACACCTGTCCTGCTGTACTCACACACACCTGTCCTACTGTACTCACACACACCTGTCCTACTGTACTCAGACACACCTGTCCTACTGTACTCAGACACACCTGTCCTACTGTACTCACACACACCTGTCCTACTGTACTCAGACACACCTGTCCTACTGTACTCAGACACACCTGTCCTACTGTACTCAGACACACCTGTCCTACTGTACTCACACACACCTGTCCTGCTGTACTCAGACACACCTGTCCTACTGTACTCAGACACACCTGTCCTACTGTACTCAGACACACCTGTCCTGCTGTACTCACACACACCTGTCCTACTGTACTACTGTACTCAGACACACCTGTCCTGCTGTACTCACACACACCTGTCCTACTGTACTCAGACACACCTGTCCTACTGTACTCAGACACACCTGTCCTACTGTACTCAGACACACCTGTCCTACTGTACTCAGACACACCTGTCCTACTGTACTCAGACACACCTGTCCTGCTGTACTCACACACACCTGTCCTACTGTACTCAGACACACCTGTCCTACTGTACTCAGACACACCTGTCCTACTGTACTCAGACACACCTGTCCTACTGTACTCACACACACCTGTCCTACTGTACTCAGACACACCTGTCCTACTGTACTCAGACACACCTGTCCTACTGTACTCAGACACACCTGTCCTACTGTACTCACACACACCTGTCCTACTGTACTCAGACACACCTGTCCTACTGTACTCACACACACCTGTCCTGCTGTACTCACACACACCTGTCCTACTGTACTCACACACACCTGTCCTACTGTACTCAGACACACCTGTCCTGCTGTACTCACACACACCTGTCCTACTGTACTCAGACACACCTGTCCTGCTGTACTCACACACACCTGTCCTACTGTACTCAGACACACCTGTCCTGCTGTACTCACACACACCTGTCCTACTGTACTCACACACACCTGTCCTACTGTACTCAGACACACCTGTCCTACTGTACTCAGACACACCTGTCCTACTGTACTCAGACACACCTGTCCTGCTGTACTCACACACACCTGTCCTACTGTACTCAGACACACCTGTCCTACTGTACTCAGACACACCTGTCCTACTGTACTCAGACACACCTGTCCTACTGTACTCAGACACACCTGTCCTGCTGTACTCACACACACCTGTCCTGCTGTACTCACACACACCTGTCCTACTGTACTCACACACACCTGTCCTACTGTACTCAGACACACCTGTCCTGCTGTACTCACACACACCTGTCCTACTGTACTCAGACACACCTGTCCTGCTGTACTCACACACACCTGTCCTACTGTACTCACACACACCTGTCCTACTGTACTCAGACACACCTGTCCTACTGTACTCAGACACACCTGTCCTACTGTACTCACACACACCTGTCCTACTGTACTCAGACACACCTGTCCTACTGTACTCAGACACACCTGTCCTACTGTACTCAGACACACCTGTCCTACTGTACTCAGACACACCTGTCCTACTGTACTCACACACACCTGTCCTGCTGTACTCAGACACACCTGTCCTACTGTACTCAGACACACCTGTCCTACTGTACTCAGACACACCTGTCCTGCTGTACTCACACACACCTGTCCTACTGTACTACTGTACTCAGACACACCTGTCCTGCTGTACTCACACACACCTGTCCTACTGTACTCAGACACACCTGTCCTACTGTACTCAGACACACCTGTCCTACTGTACTCAGACACACCTGTCCTACTGTACTCAGACACACCTGTCCTACTGTACTCAGACACACCTGTCCTGCTGTACTCACACACACCTGTCCTACTGTACTCAGACACACCTGTCCTACTGTACTCAGACACACCTGTCCTACTGTACTCAGACACACCTGTCCCGCTGTACTCACACACACCTGTCCTACTGTACTCAGACACACCTGTCCTACTGTACTCAGACACACCTGTCCTACTGTACTCAGACACACCTGTCCTACTGTACTCAGACACACCTGTCCTACTGTACTCAGACACACCTGTCCTACTGTACTCAGACACACCTGTCCTACTGTACTCAGACACACCTGTCCTGCTGTACTCACACACACCTGTCCTACTGTACTCAGACACACCTGTCCTACTGTACTCAGACACACCTGTCCTACTGTACTCAGACACACCTGTCCCGCTGTACTCACACACACCTGTCCTACTGTACTCAGACACACCTGTCCTACTGTACTCACACACACCTGTCCTACTGTACTCAGACACAGCTGTCCTACTGTACTACTGTACTCAGACACAGCTGTCCTACTGTACTACTGTACTCAGACACACCTGTCCTGCTGTACTCACACACACCTGTCCTACTGTACTCAGACACACCTGTCCTACTGTACTCAGACACACCTGTCCTACTGTACTACTGTACTCAGACACACCTGTCCTACTGTACTACTGTACTCAGACACAGCTGTCCTACTGTACTCCTCGGATGTGTTTAGTGCACAGGAGCTCTTACTGGTGGTGTTGTACTTGACGCCGTTGATGAACTCCGGGCACGGCCGCTCGATGATCCGCCCAGAGTTGCTTCTCGGCCAGCAAGTTCCGATCTCATCCGTGGTGGAGTTACAATAGATGCCTTAGAGGAAATATATAACCGATGCTGATTAATGTGCATCACAAGGACTGAATAACACAAATGCGCTAATAAAGAATACAATCCCCACCATCGACACTCATCGACGCGAAAGACGCGTTCCCGTATAAAGTGTGCTGAAACGCGTCCACAAGAGTGCAGTTGGAGTCGCCGAATTCCTCAATGAAGAACTGGAAGAGCGACGCATCCATGATTAAACGCGGAACTCGAGCACAAATAAAGGGTTCAGTAGAAGAGTCTTCCTCCCTGCTAACTTGATCCGGTGTCTTCCTCCTCACTGATGATGATGATGATGAGTGCTCCTCGCGCGCGTGCCACAGCGGGAGTAATGTTCTGTGCGCGCGTCCTCTGACAGACTGACGGTGATGTCATAATGGAATGTCAAGGATCAGAGCGGGAATGTTTCCTCTGGAGATGTTTTCGTCACTGCCCGTTACAGTCGTAAGATATTGAGTAATAAATTTTACTCAGACACGTTTGACATGAGAACACAGCACTCTCAGACAATGTAGGCTATACTGAACAATGATGATAACAAGACTAGTTGAAGGATTAATAATAGCCCACATATTATGGAGAAATATATTCAAGTTCAAGTTCAAATTACTATTTTCCCCAATGGGGCAATTTGTTGTGCAGCAGAATAATACAAATCACACACAATCACACACACAATACATTGCCTACATTGCAGGCATAATTAAAAACGATTAAAAAAAAAACAGTAAACAATCAATAAATAGTAGCCTATGTCAATAAGTTATCTATGTTTCTTTATAGAGTTAAGAAGCAGAATGGCTGCAGGCACAGACGAGTGTGTATATCTGTTGTGGGAGTGTAAAGCGTGATCAGTGTGAACATCTGAATCCAGCCTGTAAGGGTGAGCACTATCTGGCATGAGAGATGCGACTCTTCAGCATCTGCTGCTGATGAAGCTCCTCCAGCCCGTTCTGCTCAGAGCTCACTGTAATTCACCTGGAAAGGGAGTTATTTTGTTTTACAGTAATGGACCCGGACCAACAGATTAAGGAGAAGGTGACACTGCCCGAACAATGGGTCAATTACATTTATAGCCTATTATTTGTATTACTTTCCAAAAACAATGGCTTTAATACGGTTTTATATTTTGACATTTTAAGTCAGATATAGATTACCGAGCAAGAACATTTTTACATTTAAAAATTATTTTTAATATGTAGTGCAATTTACCTTATACCAAGCAACAAAAGCATGTCTTGAGGGCTCTTTTGGGGTTAAAATCATTCCTTAATAGAGATTCCTCACGCACAGAGACAGTTTTCTGTTTGTTTTTTTGTTTGTTTTATGAGGACTCTCCACAGACATAATAATTTTATTTCTAACTTTACATTCCTCCACAATGGGAAAACCTGGACACGCAGGCAGAGAAGAGAGAACTAATCCTACAGTACTGGTGTGAGTAGGCTGTGGAATTGAAATTGTGACTGATTTTTTTATTTATTTATTTAGTAAAAGTTGTTGGTGATCCTATCTTTTACCGAAATAAAAAAAAACATAGAATTGATCTATTTCAAAGATGTCCACATCTGTTGATTATTATGATTATGAGTTGACACATCACATAGAAGTGAACCCCTCAGTTAACCAGTAGTGTAAGTCCCTTCCTTTTGTTGATTGGTTATAAAAGACTAGTATTGTTCAGGCTTAAAATCTCTAATAGTGATCGGGTTAAGACAACTGGCAGAAATGTTAAGAAAATGTTTCAGCCTTTGTGTTCTTGTAGGAGCCATCTTCTGGGTGTTGATCATGAACTGCTTCTGCGTGGGTTATTCACCGTGTGCCGCATGTGTAAGTACAGTAGTGCTGGGTTATTCACCGTGTGCCGCATGTGTAAGTACAGTAGTGCTGGGTTATTCACCGTGTGCCGCATGTGTAAGTACAGTAGTGCTGGGTTATTCACCGTGTGCCGCATGTGTAAGTACAGTAGTGCTGGGTTATTCACCGTGTGCCACATGTGTAAGTACAGTAGTGCTGGGTTATTCACCGTGTGCCGCATGTGTAAGTACAGTAGTGCTGGGTTATTCACCGTGTGCCGCATGTGTAAGTACAGTAGTGCTGGGTTATTCACCGTGTGCCGCATGTGTAAGTACAGTAGTGCTGGGTTATTCACCGTGTGCCGCATGTGTAAGTACAGTAGTGCTGGGTTATTCACCGTGTGCCGCATGTGTAATTACAGTAGTGCTGGGTTATTCACCGTGTGCCGCATGTGTAAGTACAGTAGTGCTGGGTTATTCACCGTGTGCCGCATGTGTAAGTACAGTAGTGCTGGGTTATTCACCGTGTGCCACATGTATAAGTACAGTAGTGCTGGGTTATTCACCGTGTGCCGCATGTGTAAGTACAGTAGTGCTGGGTTATTCACCGTGTGCCGCATGTGTAAGTACAGTAGTGCTGGGTTATTCACCGTGTGCCGCATGTGTAAGTACAGTAGTGCTGGGTTATTCACCGTGTGCCGCATGTGTAAGTACAGTAGTGCTGGGTTATTCACCGTGTGCCGCATGTGTAAGTACAGTAGTGCTGGGTTATTCACCGTGTGCCGCATGTGTAAGTACAGTAGTGCTGGGTTATTCACTGTGTGCCGCATGTGTAAGTACAGTAGTGCTGGGTTATTCACCGTGTGCCACATGTATAAGTACAGTAGTGCTGGGTTATTCACCGTGTGCCGCATGTGTAAGTACAGTAGTGCTGGGTTATTCACCGTGTGCCGCATGTGTAAGTACAGTAGTGCTGGGTTATTCACCATGTGCCGCATGTGTAAGTACAGTAGTGCTGGGTTATTCACCGTGTGCCGCATGTGTAAGTACAGTAGTGCTGGGTTATTCACCGTGTGCCGCATGTGTAAGTACTGTAGTGCTGGGTTATTCACCGTGTGCCGCATGTATAAGTACAGTAGTGCTGGGTTATTCACCGTGTGCCGCATGTGTAAGTACAGTAGTGCTGGGTTATTCACCGTGTGCCACATGTATAAGTACAGTAGTGCTGGGTTATTCACCGTGTGCCGCATGTGTAAGTACAGTAGTGCTGGGTTATTCACCGTGTGCCGCATGTGTAACTACAGTAGTGCTGGGTTATTCACCGTGTGCCGCATGTGTAAGTACAGTAGTGCTGGGTTATTCACCGTGTGCCACATGTATAAGTACAGTAGTGCTGGGTTATTCACCGTGTGCCGCATGTATAAGTACAGTAGTGCTTGGTTATTCACCGTGTGCCGCATGTGTAAGTACAGTAGTGCTGGGTTATTCACCGTGTGCCACATGTATAAGTACAGTAGTGCTGGGTTATTCACCGTGTGCCGCATGTGTAAGTACAGTAGTGCTGGGTTATTCACCGTGTGCCGCATGTGTAAGTACAGTAGTGCTGGGTTATTCACCGTGTGCCGCATGTGTAAGTACAGTAGTGCTGGGTTATTCACCGTGTGCCACATGTATAAGTACAGTAGTGCTGGGTTATTCACCGTGTGCCGCATGTGTAAGTACAGTAGTGCTGGGTTATTCACCGTGTGCCGCATGTGTAAGTACAGTAGTGCTGGGTTATTCACCGTGTGCCGCATGTGTAAGTACAGTATTGCTGGGTTATTCACCGTGTGCCGCATGTGTAAGTACAGTAGTGCTGGGTTATTCACCGTGTGCCGCATGTGTAAGTACAGTAGTGCTGGGTTATTCACCGTGTGCCGCATGTGTAAGTACAGTAGTGCTGGGTTATTCACCGTGTGCCGCATGTGTAAGTACAGTAGTGCTGGTTTATTCACCGTGTGCCGCATGTGTAAGTACAGTAGTGCTGGGTTATTCACCGTGTGCCACATGTATAAGTACAGTAGTGCTGGGTTATTCACTGTGTGCCGCATGTGTAAGTACAGTAGTGCTGGGTTATTCACCGTGTGCCGCATGTGTAGGTACAGTAGTGCTGGGTTATTCACCGTGTGCCGCATGTGTAAGTACAGTAGTGCTGGGTTATTCACCGTGTGCCGCATGTGTAAGTACAGTAGTGCTGGGTTATTCACCGTGTGCCGCATGTGTAAGTACAGTAGTGCTGGGTTGTTCACCGTGTGCCGCATGTGTATGTACAGTAGTGCTGGGTTATTCACCGTGTGCCACATGTGTATGTACAGTAGTGCTGGGTTATTCACCGTGTGCCGCATGTGTAAGTACAGTAGTGCTGGGAATCTTTGGCACATCACCATCCCATTCGATTCCAAATCTGGGAGTCACGATCCCATTCCAAAACAATTCTTGATCTACTTTTTTTCTTTATTAATTAATTTGTTTCTTTATCTTAAAATCTTTTTGGTAACACTTTAAAATAACTGCATGCTATGAATCATTAGTAAAGCATCAAAGTGCTCATCTTCAGAAGAACCAGAGAATCGGATAAATGTGGAGAACAGCTTTCAGCAGAACGAGGAGTTACTGTGAGTCCAGTTGATATCGCACGGCCTTGATAACACACCTGCTGTTTTCCAGCCTTCATTAATGAAATCTCCATGTTCTGCTGCAGTGTGGAAGAGCTTACATTGATGACAAGCATCAAATTTCATGGTGTCTTTAAAAAAGGCTGTGTGTGTGTGTGTGTGTGTGTGTGTGTGTGTGTGTGTGTGTGTGTGTGTGTGTGTGTGTGTGTGTGTGTGTGTGTGTGTGTGTGTGCAGTAGACATAAAAATATGGCATTTAAATCAAATAAAAATAAAAATCATAAAAAAAACATTAGAAAAATTCCCCATATGCATAATTCCCCATGTCCACTCCATCGGACACAACAGAGTTGACAAAATTGAATATTTTTCCATCTTAACCGTGTTATGCAGTGGAGCAATGTTTCCCTCAGTAGTAGCTGGCTTAATAAACATGAGACAAATGGCCAGATTTATCCAATAACTATTGACAGAAATGATCACACTGGGAAGACGGCGTTTACATGTTAAAGCCGCGCTGGTAGGACATGTTTAGTCCCTCAAGAATCAGTGACACACTAATATACACAGGGGTAGACTAACACAGCGAACACACAGCATGAAGAGTTAAACATAGGATTCATATGGAAGCTTGTTTCCACCAGGGGAAAACAAAAAGGTAATTGTGACTTTTTTATTTTGCAATTCTGGGAAGAAAAGTCAGAATTGCGAGATATTAACTCCCAATCGCAAGAAAACAGTCCGAATTGTGAGATTAAAAAAGAAAATCGCAATTACAATTTTAATTGTATGTATTCTATGGCAGAAACGAGCTTCCATAGATACAAGAGTGGACCGATCATAAAAAAGGAACTTCATTCTCAATTATAAGGA